CTCCTTCCCGGCCTCTCCTTGCAGGGCGATGGTGCCGCAGCCCTGGACATCCTGCAGCGCCCCATTGAAGCCGCGCACATGCCTGATGGCGCCACTCGGCTGCAAGTCGACGAAGGCTTCCTTCGTCCCCATCAGGTGGTGGGAGCAACCACTGTCGAGCAGGACCACCGCCGGGTTTGCCTGCACAGCTGCCGCCACCACTTGGAAGTCCTCTCCGGCCTCCGGCGCCAGAGAGATGGTCGGCTCCACGACGCCGACCAGCGAGCACGACGCCGTTTTGTCGTCTCGCCCCTTGCCGCCTGCAACGTAGTCGGCGTCCTTCGCCGAGGTCGATGTCTTGGTCGACTGCTTCTCCTTGCGCGGTTGGTTGCCTCCACGATGAGGACGACGGCTGCCAGACCTCCCACGGCCTCCCTTAGCATCGTCGTCGTCGGAGTCGCTGCGGTTGGGACACTCGAAGGAGAGATGATCGGGATCGCCGCACAGCCAGCACTCCCGACGTCGACCTCCTCCTCCACGATCGCTGTCCTTGGTCGACTTCCTCTTGTCGACCTCCTTGGCCGGTTTCCAGCCACTGCTACCGCCACCGCCGGATTGCCCGCGCTGCCCCGGTCGACCTCCTTGCTTCGCTGAGGTGACCAAGTTCGCCTGTGCCAAGAGCTCCTGCGACCGCTCAGCCTCCTGCATCGCCTCGTCCTGCAGGATATACGAGGTCAAGTTGTCCTCGTTGAGCGTCGCCCTTGTGCTCGGCGCCATAGACAGCCGCTTCAGCAGGTTGTAGCTGCTAGAGAGTCCCTGCATGACATGGGTGATGTACGACGCCGTGGAGTACTGCGCGCCGGCCATCCTGATGGTGGCGAGAATTCGCCTGGCTCGGTTGCAGTAGTCGGTCGCACTCTCCTCGTCGCCCATACGCAGATGTGTCAGCTGTCCCTCCAGCTGGGCGATGAACAGGTCGTCGGTGACCTGATACGTCGACTCAATGAAGTGCCACGCCCGGTGGCCGGCGTTGAGGTACTCCCGGCACCACTTCAAGGCGATCTGCAGGCCCGGCGAGCAGCACCGCGAGATGACAGTGAAGGTCAACAGCTGCACGGCGCGAAACTCCGCACGCAGGTCGGGGTGGTGCTCCCCCGGCGTCGCCACGGTCCCTCGGGCGAAGCCGATCAGCCCGGCCATCTCCAGCTGGGGCTCGATGGCTTCCTTCCAGGTGAGAATGTCAGGTCGACCGACCAGCGGAGGGGTGACCGAGATCCTGTCCGGCGTAAACTTGAAGTAGCCGTAGCTCGGTGCAATCCCACCTGCCGTCACCTGGGACGCCGACATCGGCGTCAGTCCACTCCGTCGACCTCCGACGTCACCCCGCGAAGAGCCTGCAGTCGCCGACAACTGCATCCCTTGCGCCTGAACGCCGCCGACTTCACCGGCTTGTATCACACCTCTCTGCCTCGACGTGCCTCCCGCACTGCTGCCGACCTGACCTCCACCGGCGTTGACACCCACGTCGACGCCGCCTTCGTTGTTCACCGGACGAGGAGAGGCAGGTCGAGACGGGTGCTCCGTCGCCCACATGAAGCGGAGTCCAGCCTCGACGACCGGCCAGGGCAAGTCGCCGTACTCGTTGGCCTCGTGCTTCCTCCTCGCGTTCTCCAACCGTGCCTCTAGGGTGTCCACCACCCCCGCGTCACCTACGGCTCCTACCATAGTGACTACCGCACGGTTGCCGGCCTGCAACTACGAAATAGGTAAGTGGTGTCTACGTCGACCTGACTGAAGGTAAGTCGTGTGCCGTCCACGCTCACCGCACCATGCGGAGATAACTGCAGCAACGGGAGCTAGGCTAAGGGCTAGGCACGTGTGCTCGTGTGATCTCTGCGTTCTCTGTTCCTTAGTCGTTTTCCTTGTGTACACACTACTTGCTAGTTCACGGGGAAAATTGGCAAAAGTTTCACTAGGAAAAGTTCAGAACAATTGGTACAATGAAGTTGGCATAGCATGACTACATCAGAGCAAGCATTCAGGTCGGCCAACTGCCAGCGCAGCTTGGTCGACCGCGTTCCAGCACGACTTGGTCGACCGCACTCCAGCAAGGCAAGGTCGACGGCGTGCCAACGTCGCAGGTTGACGGCATGCCAGCGTTGCTCACGCAGGACAGCAGTGCACCCGCCTCGCAGGTGTGCGTAGCTGATTGGCGTGCAGAGTCCCGTCACCTGCACAACGCACACTCCACGTCAACCTCGAGCTGACGACTGCCTCTGGTCCGCCACGACGACCTCGGGATACCACCACCGAGGTCGTGCTCGCCACCTTTGCCTGGGCGACCGTCGCACTTCTCCGCAGCACTTCGTCACCCAGGTAACCTGGTCGACCGGGCAACCACGTCGACCAGCAGCTCTTGCACGTGCCCGTCGACCTCCCAAGTCGACGACCACCCCAAGTCGACCTCCTCAGGTCGACCACTACTCCCTGGTCGACCAGCTCCAAGTCGACGTCACTCCTGGTCGACCAGAAGGGCTGGTCGACTTCCCAGGTCGACCAGGATGGTCTGGTCGACGTCCCAGGTCGACCAGAAGGTCTGGTCGGCGTCCCGGGTCGACCAGACGAAGTTGGCGCCCTCCTGAAGTCGGCGCCCATGCAGTGGCTCCCCGTGCAGGTCGACTAACCTCGTCGACCAACTCGCCCACTGCTGCAGATCGGCTGCACCCTACACCCGACCACGAAGTCGGCTCCGCCCAGGCGTGGACGGGGCCAACATACAACTCCCGTTGACAAGGGGCGGGTCCGCGGCGGCTCAGGACACCGTCGCGGGCGCCAGAGGCGGGTCCGCGGTGGCTCAGGACACCGTCGCAGGCGCCAGGGGCGGGTCCGCGGCGGCTCAGGGCACCGTCGCACACCATGGGGCACGTGACGGGCAGTTCAGGGCACCGTCGCGTGCCACGGGGCGCACGACGGGCAGGGCACCGTCGCATGCCACGGGGCGTGCGACGGGCAGGGCACCGTCGCAGGCCACGGGGCGTGCGACGGGCAGAAAAGATGTCACGCGCCACCCGGGCGCGGGACAGGACGAAAATCGCCACGCGCTCGAGGCACGCGACTGGAAAAACAGTAGCGGAAGCGTAAGGCGGGCCCACAGCCCTGGACTTATCAGGCTCTGATATCATGCTGAGATACTTAGCACAAGGGGGAGTCGAGTGAGTTTGTGCCAAGACGAGAGAATGGGAATGGTGTTCACTATAGCACTAGGGTGCATATAGCAAACAGAGCATGCAAAGAAGGTGCACCACCAACAGTTTATAATAACTACACTAAACTACAGCTACAGGCAGTTACATATATATTCTAACATCCCCCCCTCTCCCCCTCATTCCCCTTCCAGGCGGACCGTGCGGAGATAGCGGAGCAGAAGCTAGAGGTGCTCAAGAGGCGAGGGGAGCTGCTGGCCGTTCAGGCTCGGTCACACCTATTACTTCCTTGGCCCCCCCATTCTCTCCCTCCCACTCCCCATCCACCAATCCCTACCCAGGCGGAGATAGCGGAGCAGAAGCTAGAGGTGCTCAATTGGCGAGGGCAGCTGCTGGCCGTTCAGCCTGAGTCACACCTATTACTTGCTTGGTTCCCCCATTCTCGCCCTCCCACTCCCCTTCCACCAATCCTTACCAAGGCTCGGATAGAAGAGCAGAAGTTGGAGGTGCTTATGAGAGTATGACGGCTTATGCTGGCTTTGTTAGCTTGCTTGAACTTTATTATGCTATTACTAGCTTGGGTTTTATTTATCATGCATAGTTATGTCTGATTTCCTAGGTTAGGTGCATTCTTATATGTTATTATAGTTATAACACCAAATTAGGTTACGTAAACTAAACTCAAGCCTTTTTGGTTGCCACCGAATTGCTTTCTACAAAGTTCGGGAAGGTTCTGTTCGGGACGCTTCGCGACCCTCGTAACATTCGTGTAACACATGGGTTACTGGCCTTGTGTCGAGACTATATATAGCCTCGTGTTGTACCCAGGTGGATCATTCAATTCGAACTCTCTATTTTGAGCTCGATCCTAGATCCTTACAGTGCTCAAGAGGCGAGGGCTGGCAGGCTCAAGATGACGACGAGGGAGTCACAGGTGCGTGCGGAGGAGTGATGTGTGTTGGGGAGGTTTGTGATGCTGTGGGAAGGTTTGTAATGCTCTGCCTATGGGGAGGCATGTGGAGCAGATTTGCATACTATGTGAGCGAGCTACTCCCAAAAACCGTCTGTGTGCGGCATTCACCTCCTCTCTCATCCATTGCTGCACCCTTCCCTTCACCTTTCCACTTCGTTTTTTCCCTCTCTTTTCTTTCTCCTAATTCCTCCCATCTCCCCCCAGCTCTCTCTCTCTCTTCAATTCCGAGCCAGGTACCGCTGGCGCGTAATCAAACAACTGGGGCCCATCGATGCAAATGGGGTGGTGCAGCTGAAGGGTGCTCAACTCCCCCCATGGTCTACCCACCCTTCCCGACCTCCCTCTAGGTCTCTCTGTTCAAATCCGAGCTGAGAAACCGCTCACAGATGCTCAAACGACTGCAAGTCGAGTGCCAGCTACGACTGGTGACAGCGGGGAGGGGGGAATGGAGATGTGTGGCACCATAGGGAGTGCGAGCGGAGTACATGAGGGAGGTGAACTGGTGAGGTTGTTTGAACTCGGTTCTCCTCTAGCATCCTCTGCCGGTTCTCGTGCAGCTGCTGTTACTCCTGCTGGGGCTGCATCTGAAGGTGGTTACAATGTGACTACGGCAGAAGAGGAAGAGCAACTTGCTGCTCCTGGCAGCAAGAGGTGGTGTTGCCGCTTCAGGAGCAGCAAGTTGCTCTTCCTCTATTGTCGTGGTCACGTTGTAACCACCTTCAGATGCAACTCCAGCAGGAGTAACAGCAGCTGCAACACGAGAACTGGCAGAGGATGCTAGAGGAGAACCGAGTTCGAGCACCCTCACCAGTTCACCTCCCTCATGTACTCCGCCCACACTCCCTATGGTGCCACACACCTCCATTCCCCCCTCCTCGCTGTCAGATGTCGTAGCTGGCACTCGGCTTGCGGACCCCGCCTTCTCAAAATCAGAAATCGACTCAAACGGGGTGTTGCATGTGAAGGGGTACTCACTCACCTTCTCTCCCCCCATGCTTCACCCTTCTCTCCACTTTTTCTTGACTTCGTTTCTTTCCCCACCTCTCTTACCCCGCAGCTCTCTCTCTTCAAGTACAAGCTCCAAAATCGTTCCAGGGTCCTCAAGCGGTTGGGCCACATCGATGCAGACGAGGTGGTGCAGCTCAAGGGCCACTCACCCCTCCTCCCCCCTTCCCTTCCCAAACCTCTTTTCTTATGCTACAACCTTCCTTCCCATCTCTCCTCTCTAGCTCTCGCTCTTCAAATCCGAGGTGAAAAACTGTTCACGAGTGCTCAAGCGTTTGGGCCACATCGAATCCGATGGGGTGGTGCAGCTTAAGGGTCGGAGAGCATGTCTCATGCCCTCATAGGTGCTCAATCTTCCTCTCCTGCCTCTCCCTATTCCCCAGCTCTCACTCTTCAAATCCGAGCTCCGAAATTGTTCAAGGGTGCTGAAACGCCTTGGCCACATCGATGCATACGGGGTGGTGCAGCTGAGGGCTGGGCAGCGTGTGTCGTCATGACAGGCAAAGAGCTAGTGGTGGTGGGGTTTATGGCAGGCAGCGAGCTGGTGGTGGTGGGGTTTATGGCAGGCAGCGAGCTGGTGGTGTTGGGGTTTATGGCAGGCAGCGAGCTGGTGGTGGTGGGGTTTATGGCAGGCAGCGAGCTGGTGGTGGTGGGGTTTATGGCAGGCAGCGAGCTGGCGGTGGTGGGGTTTATGGCAGGCAGCGAGCTGGTGGTGGTGGGGTTTATGGCAGGCAGCAAGCTAGTGGTGGTGGGGTTTATGGCAGGCAGCGAGTTGGTGGTGGTGGGGTTTATGGCAGGCAGCAAGCTGGTGGTGGTGAGGTTTATGGCAGGCAGCGAGCTGGTGGTGGTGGGGTTTATGGCAGGCAGCGAGCTGGTGGTGGCGGGGTTTATGATTCAAGGGGCACTCTTTCACCTCCCCTCTGCTCCCCTCTTCCCCCATTCTCCACCCTTCTCTCCACCCTTCCCTCCACCTATCTTGCAGCTCTCCCTGTTCAAGTCAGAGCTGAGAAATCGCTCACGAGTGCTCAAGCGCCTGGGCCACATCGACTCGGACGGAGTGGTGCAGCTAAAGGGCCGGGTGGCGTGCGTCGTCACTACAGGCGACGAGCCGCTGGTGACGGAGCTCATGCTGGAGGGGGCGTTCAACACCATAGACCCTCACCAGCTCGTGGTTGTTGCTAGTTGTTTTCTGCCCTCTGGGAATTCGAATGAAGAGCAGGTGAGGTAGGGAGGCAATTTCTGAGGCCATGAGGAACAGGTGAGTGTTTTCAACCCCTAGAAAGCTTGGGATTTGGTCCTTTTCTGGCTTGGATTTGGAGGCCATGGCATGTGTCGTCACGAGAGGCGATGAGCTGCTGGTGACGGAGCTGATGCTGGAGGGAGCTTTTAACTCCATGGACGCGCACCAGTTGGTTGTTGTTGCTAGCTGCTTCTTGCCTTTCGAAAAGTCAATTGAGGAGTAGGTGAGTGTCTGCTTCAGGCCAGACCATGAGGGTCAGGTGAGTGCTTTTCAGCCCCTGAAAAGCTAGGGATTGAGCCCTTTTTCTGGTATGAGTTTGGAGGCCATAGCATGGGATCTTTGGAAGGAACGGCATTGTTGCTAGCTGCTTCCTTCATTCCAAAGGCTTGTGTGAGAAAGTCGAATGAAGAGCAGGTGAGGGTGTGTGAGGCTTGTTCAGGTCGTATGATGCAAGGAGGGACAACAAAGGTGAGTGAGGCTGCTGGTGATGGAGCTGATGCTGGAGGGGGCGTTAAACTCCATGGACCCCCACCAGCTCGTGGTTGTTGCTAGTTGTTTTCTGCCCTCTGAGAAGTCGAATGAAGAGTAGGTGAGTGTCTGCTTCAGGAACTGGTTAGTGCTTTTTCCTACCAAACCTCCCACCAAGCCTCCTATCAATCCTCCTCTCACCAAGCCTGACCCAACCCTCTGGACTCGAATCCTAGGCTCCGTGCTCGATTCCCCCGAAAATATCAGATCATTCTGAGAAAGATTCGGCTGCATAGGGCGGGAAGGCAAGTGGGCCTACGACGACTCGCCGCGACTGCTGCCATGGCCGGACGAGATGAGCAAATGCGACGTGCGTCATTGGAATAAGAGCTCTCGCAACGTGGCATTACAAAACGCGCATCACTTGGTGGGACGGTTCAAGAAAATTGTGACTCAAATAGAGGAGATTACCCGGGGAGGAAAGGAGGCTTCTAAGCAGTAGATGAGCAAATTGAAAAAACTAGAGAGACGGGATGATATTCTCAGGCAAAAGTGGGCTGTAAAGAGACTCTTAAGTATCGGTGGGTGGTTCTATGAAGCGACATAGAGCAGCAGGATGGGGAAACAGCAGAAGCTCGCAGCAGCAGATGCGGCGGGCCTTGGGATCGGTTCTCCCCGAAAAAGTTTTGCAATTTTTTGGATCAGAGAATCTTGCTTGTAGTGGGTGACTCAATTAACATGCTTTTTGCCGAGTCCATCTGTAACAACATAATGCTAGGCGCCAAGGACCAAGCCTCTCGGGTCCAATGGATAGAGCCGACTGGCTTCTGCCAGCAATACCGTGTCGCAATAGAGAAATTAAAGAGACCTGAAGAGTGTTGCTGGAGTGTTCACGCCTGCGCTGACCTCGGCTTTTTTGTCCGGATTTTCTTCGTCCGAGATTATTACCTCAACTCCACAGAAGACGTGAATGAATTCTTGGTGGATAGGAGCTTTAACGAGACTTGGATGGATGAGATTGCTCCATTGAACGTGTCGATTGTTGTCATGAACCGAGGGGCTCATTACAGACCCGACCACAAGTTTAAGCGACAAGTGTTGTCTACTCTGGTGGCGCTCCGGAATACCCACCCAGAGCTGCTCATTATCGTCCGAAACACCCTTTCGGGGCACCCTGATTGCTGGCAGCATGACAAGCCACTTTCTGAGAAGTTTCTACGCATTCCACGAATCGACGGGTATCACTGGGAGAAGTTTGGGCCGCAGAACGAGATTCTAAAGCGGCTGACAGAGGGCTTGAGAGGGGTGTACATGGATGTGAATGCGTCGGCGATGTGGCGGCCTGATAGGCATGTGGTTTGGCACAAGGAGTGTTTGCATTACTGCCACCCGGGCCCTGTGGACACGCGGGTGCAGTTGCTCTTCTACATGCTGCAGGGGCTGGTCGTGCCGAGCGGCTGAGGGTGTGGGACTAAGGTACGGTTAACACTTTGGAGGTGAGTTGATACTTATTTGGGTGCAGCTGCTCTTCAATATGCTGCTGGGACTGCTCGTGCCCAGCAATGGTGACTAGGAGGGCATTGGCTAGCCAAAGGCAGGTACTGTTGCCGCTGCAGTAGAATGCTTGTGGCGACCCAATGGGCATCTGCATCAGAAGGACTGCCTACACTACTGTCAGAACGTATAGCTTATGCTTTTGTGTAGGCTATAATGGGTTATCCCATAGGGGGTACAACCCAATTAGGGTTTCATATTTGTACTCACTTCATTCATAGTTCATTCATTCTCGTTCTAGTTTTCTCATGGTATCGAGCAGGTTCCCTCGTGGGAACTGTTCCTAGGGCCCACCGTCTTTTTTTTTCCTGCCCGGGGCGCACTCTGCCCCTGCCCGAGTCGCGCTCCCCTCTCTATCGGCCCCTAGTGGCCTCTTTAGCCGCCCGTCGCGGCCCCTAGACGCCCGCGCGCCGCCCTTAGACGCCCGCGCGCCGCCCGTCCCGGCCCCTAGACGCCCTCGCGCCGCCCGTCCCGGCCCCTAGACGCCCGCGCGCCGCCCTTAGACGCCCGCGCGCCGCCCGTCCCGGCCCCTAGACGCCCGTGCGCCGCCCGTCCTGGCCCCACGCCGCCTGTGCGCCGCCCATCTCGGTCGCGCGCGCAGCTGCCCCGGCCCGTCGACGCCGGTGCGCCGCCAGTCCCGGCCCCACGCCGCCCGTGCGCCGCCTGTCCCGGCCGCGCACAACCGTCCCGGCCCCTCGCCGCCCGTGCGCCGCCCGTCCCGGCCCCTCGCCGCCGTCCCGGCCCCAAGCCGCCCGTCCCGGCCCTGCGCCACCGTCCCGGCCCCCTCCTCACGCCGCCCGTGCGCCGCCCGTCCCGGCTGCGCGCCGCCGTCCCGACCTCACGCCGCCCGTGCGCCACCCGTCCCAGCCGTGCGCCGCCGTCCCGGCCCCACACCGCCCGTGTGCCACCCGTCCCGGCCGCGCGCCGCCGTCCCGGCCCCACGCCGCCCGTACGCCGCTGTGACGCCTGAGCCGCCCGAGCCGCCCGTGCCACCTGCGCCACCCGAGCTGCCCGAGCCGCCTGTGCCGCTGAGGAGCCGAGCCGCCCGAGCCGCCTGTGCCGCTGAGTGCCCGAGCCGCCCGAGCTGCCCGAGCCGCCCGAGCCGCCTGCGCCGCCCGAGCCGCCCGAGCCGCCTGAGGAGCCGAGCCGCTGGTCCCGCGGAGCTGCTGTTGCTGCTGGGCCGACCGAGCAGCAGCGTTGCCGTGTTGCTGTGCTACTGAGCTGCCCGACCCGCCCTATCTGGTGAGAACGTCTACTGCTGTCATGGCTACCCCTAGTGTCCTAGCTTTTGACGCTGACGGTCGCGCCATTCACTTTGAGGTCTGGGTCGACGACCTGCAGCTGTTCTTACAGTGCGATAGGGCAGACGGTCTTTCCCTCTTTGACCTCACCTCTGGCGTCGTCCCTGCCCCTGCTGCTGATGCTGACCCCACTGTTCGCTCCCAGTGGGCCACACGCGACGCTGCTGCACGTCTTGCTGTGCGTCGCCACCTGCCTACCGCTGAGCGCGCGCACTTTAGTCAGTACAAGAGTGCTCAGACCTTGTACGACGCTGTAGTTGCGCGCTACTCTTCCCCTGCCACTGCTGCACTGAGCCGCCTCATGCTACCCTTCCTCTTCCCTGACCTTGCTGCCTTTCCCACAGTCGTTGATCTCATTACGCACCTCCACACTAGTGACAACCACTACCGCGCTGCGCTTCTTGCTGACTTCTGCGCCAAGAACCCCCCCCCCATGTACATCACTCTCTACTTTCTAGTCACCCGCCTCCCTGACTCTCTTCGTGTAGTCCGGGACCACTTCCTCGCGGTCTGTCCCACCACTCTCACAGTCGACCTCCTAGAGAAGGCCCTCCTGGCGGCGGAGAAGAGCATCGTCGCTGTAGGAGCCTCTCGAGGTGACCCCCGCACCCCCATCTTTGAGGGGTGTTCTCCTTCCCCTCTCTTGCCCTCTGTTGCCTCTGCCGCTGCAGCCGACCTCGTTGGTCTTGAGTCGGTCGGTGCGGCGTCTGCCCCTAGCGGGAGACACCGCCCTGGCAAGGGCAAGGGGGGCAAGGGAGCGGGTGGAGCTAGCGGGGGCGGTGGGGGTGGAGGTGGAGGCGGCGGAGGGAGTTGGGGTGGCGGTGGAGGTGGTGGCGGGGGTGGAGGTGCTAGTGGCAGCGGTGGAGGAGGAGGCGGCGTCGGCGGCGACGGTACTGTCGGGGGCGGCGGTGGTGGCGGAGGTGGAGGAGGCGGAGGTGGAGGTGGTGGAGGTGGTCGGAGTGGCACTTCACAGCGGAGCGGCACTGGTGGTGGTCAGCGCCAGCAGCAGCAGCAGCAGCGTTCTCGCGACGTCCCCACCCCTCAGCAGCTCCGTGAGTGGTACACGCAGCGTCAGCGTGGTGGGGGTCTTGGTCCCTGCACCTACGTCCTTCGCACCGGCGACCGCGCGGGTGAGCAGTGTGGGGGTGCCCACCCCACCCAGCGCTATTTTGGCCGCCTGACGGATGCTTGGCGCCAGCAGTTTCCGGAGGCCACGGAGATCCCCCGCTGGGGAGAGCTGTCTAGGGCAGGCGTAGCTATCTTTGATCTTGACTTTGATGCTATCCTTGCTGCCATGTATGCTGTGACTATTAGTGATGAGGGTACCTGTTACCGGTGTTTCCCGCCCGACCCAGGCATTGGTACTGCAGCTCCAGGTGCTAGTGAGGCTGCTGCTCTAGGTGCCAGTGCGTCTGCGCTCTCAGGTACTGGTGAGTCTGCGCTCTCAGGTACTACGTCGGCTTCGGCCTCCCACACCTTCACCCTTGACTCTGGGGCGTCTCGCTCCTTCTTTCGGGACCGCACCACACTCACGCCGCTTAGTCGGTCGGTTGCGGTGTCCCTGGCTGACCCCTCTGGGGATCCTGTCCTGTCTCGCTTCTCCACTGTCCTCCCGTGTCCGGCGGCTCCCTCTGGCACCCTGTCTGGTCTCTACCTCCCCTCGTT